AATCACAATAATTAACCCAGAAAAATCGAAAGCAGTGGAAATACTGCCAGATTACTGTTGTGTTAGCGATAAGAAAAAAAGCTAAACACATGCAGGCATTTCTTCTTTCTTTCTTTTTACTGAACTAGTCTGCAGTAACGAAAACAGGAGACACATTAGAAACAAACAGATGGTAACTCAGGGTTATACAAAGAGTGGCCAACACAAAATACACACATTCCTGATATGCGAGTCCCATCTCACACTCAACACACTACAATTACTTTGGTATAAATACAGCACTACAACATACAAAAGAGAGAGATGGACTTAGAAAACACCAGTTTTAGAATGATTTGATCAGCTGTAGTTTAAAATTACGGTGGGTTTTTCCTCCGTAAGGGCCTATTATGCAGTCTCTGTCGCCCTTTTTGTGGATGGACAACGTCAACTGTCTTTGCTCTGCTCAATGACAGGCTAATGGAAATTTGTGTCCAAAATGACTATCCTTACAAACAAACTGCATAGCTCTAATCTAAACAACGACAATCTCACCTAAAAAAGCCTCAAAAGTACATGATGTTGCCCAAGAGCTGCAATATTTGTCAAACTGTAGTAAGTTTATTCATCTGCTGTCACTCGATGTGGGCCGAGTATTATAGAAGGGTGAGGAGGCTGTAGAAGTTCAGCTATTGCAGAATATCATACTGCTTTCAGCCAATCAAATTCGAGAACCAGACAGAACTGTTGTATAAATATATACATCCATCTGTTAATTTTTTTTTCCTGCAAGCTTCACATTTAAATAAAGGCATGGAATTTTTCGTCCTCCTTTTAAAACTTTCATAATAGTATGATAACATGACAATATGTAAAACAGCTACACTTCCTCATGAGATTATGTTCTTGAGGGAACATCATATGGCATCACATGGGGACATAATAATGACATGTGCCATTAATCCATCAACTTTACTATAACATGTAAAATGCTAACATAAATGTAAGATTCTGAAAGGTAGGTATTCATAATATAATGCCATAACATAATATAATAATCACAAAATAGTCTTATTCAAAATAAGGTAAATAATTAGATTTCTGATGCCCATGTAAATGTACCTATTGTCAGCATAAGAATGCCATGTAAACTCTTTAGTTGTAGATTTTCTGTCTTCTCATTTCTTCATTACTAATGTTAGTCTCTGATGATATTGTTCTTCTACTCTAAAGGTGCGTCATAAGGTCAAACAGGCTAAAGCTGAGCCTCCGCCACCGCCTCAGAGATTCCCTCGCAGGAGAATTAGCACACGGCGATCTGGTTATGCTTTCTCTCACGCCCGCGGTTATGGAGACCTGGTCACCTCTGGACGCTTCCTGCGGATCCCGGTTAAAAGTAGACCAGCTCTTTTCTCTAAAAATGAGTCTCCGGTGGCTGACAGCACACCACAGACATACATAAGCATCTTCGAGGAGACGCAGAACCCCTAAACCACCAACAAGACATGCAGGATTTCACCTCCACCACTGGTGTTATTTAAAGAAGTGTTTGCAGAGATATTCTTAGTGAAGGTTAAACATATTTCACAGATGAGTAAGTGAGATTGTAAAGCTGTGAGAAACGGGTTTTAACTGTAAGGAGTTGATGAAAAATCATGTCTTCAGAGACTTGAGGATTCTGAAAGTTATATTAACATCTACACATAAACAATTGGTCCATGTTAAGAGCAGAGGATGTAGTAAAGTTTTTTTTTAGACATCTTTATTTTCTGTTAGTCTGTCCACAAAATGCCTAGAGATAAAATGAGATTATTACATAAAGGGTGCATAGATGCACATTTTAATTGTGTTTGACAGTTTTATATGCAAATGTTTAGTTTGTTCCTTTTTATAATATATATAGAGCGAGAGGATTATTAAAATGGCCACTACAATGCTTTGATTTTACATACTTCTTCTATCATGTTTTGTACAAATATGTGTAATCTCTAGTACGTTCCCTTTTAATGCTGAGCTTAATTTCCCCTTCGGCATTGGGGTTATTTAAAGGAATGTTCGCAGAAATAGTCTTTGCGGGGTTTCAAATGATTGTACAAAGGGGTAAGGGGTTTTTAACTGTGAGTAACTGATGAAAATTGTCATAAAAAATGAGGTTCCTTAATGTATTAAAACTACGCACACAAACACTTAACGTTAAATCTGCCATTTGGCTATAAAGATGTTTGATGAAATGGTCACTAAAAATGCTTAAGATTTTACATTCCGCTTTACGATGTTTTGTATAAAGATGCAAATGTGCCTTGATCAGTGATATTCAATAAACTTCTTGTATCTTTTGTATATTGTTTGTATCTGTCTGATTGCTATCAGATGTAAAATTCTAGAAAACATTTGATCGGAATCTGAAAATCTGATGAGAATAGGAAGCACAAAGTACTGTCAGAGCCTGTGAGCTTTGAATGCTAAAGATTTTATAAATGTAATTTTATATAGTTTCTCATATTAAAAGCATAGATCAATTTTATCTATGCTTCGCTATAAGTAAAACTAATATAAAATGTGACCAGAAGAGAATGATTTATAAGGAAAACATTAACATTAACAAGACGTTTCCTTCAGAAACAGCATTTTGTAATTGCAATGCTTGTGCTAACAAACAATGTTAAATACTTTTAGTATGCACAGAGACTGACATTAAACATTGTGAAATAATTGAGCCCAGTTCTCTGCTTATCATTATGTTGCCTTCCTGTCTGTATCTAAAGAAAATGCCAAAAAAAGATTTCCTCTGGATTAACAAGGCTCCATTATGCTGAGTGATGGAGTGGCCCAGTTGTCGTTGTTTTCTGCATGAGTGCACTGGATGAGCTAGAAAGACGAAATACTACAGAAGGTTTGAGTGGCGGGTCGAAATCAAGTCCAAATCAAGTTTTATGTCAAAAGGGAACAGAATCTCTAAGTAATGTTTCCACAAAAAAATAATAATAATAAAATGTTGCCATTCTGAAGGCATAAGGGGATCCAACCTGGTAATAGCAATGTGTGCCATTATCACGATTACTACTTTCAAAGTAAGCTGTGGTGAATGTTATTCAAATAATGGTTAAAATTACCATTTTAAATTTCATTTATTCATTTTCTTTTCGGCTTATTCCCTTTATTAATCCGGGGTTGCCATAGCGGAATGAACCGCTAACTTATCCAGCACGTTTTTGTGCAGCCAATGCCTTTCCAGCTGCAACCCATCTCTGGGAAACATCCACACACACTCCTTCACACACATACACTACGCACAATTTTAGCTTAACCAAATTACCTGTACCACATGTCTTTGGACGTATGGAAAACTGGAGCACCCAGAAAAAACCCACACGAATACGGGGAGAACATGCAAACTTCATACAGAAATGCCAACTGACCCAGCCGATGCCCGAACCAGCAACCTTCTTGATGTAAGGCGACAGCACAACTTACTGCGCCACCGCATCAGTTAAAGTATGTTTTATTCATTTTATTTAAAGTGTGCTGCACACTACAGAGACTACTGAGTTAAAGCTAGACTTCACAAAATTTAATTGCAAATCAATTGAGAATATCAATCAGAAAAATTGCAATGAGATATTTGTGTAAAATCGCACAACCACTTGTTTTGACTTGTTAAAGCATAAAGCTTTATGCAGCATTGTGAAAACAATTAAAACTTGGGTTCTTAAGTGAAGCAGTTTTTCAAGAGCAGGTTTAACAAACAATATCTTAAATTACAACAAATGCAAAATGAAGGACTCCATGTTTATGTTGTTTGTAACAAAAATACATAGAGCTTTTAGTTGAAAAGAGATTTTAGTTCAGTGCATAGAATTTAGCTGTTGTTTGTTCATTTTCAGATTCCAAACTTAGTAGAATAAGTGGGACATTCTTTTTTACATTTACAAAACTATAATATAGAATAGTACATGTTATGAAATTGTTATACCATTACATCCCTATTGCCTAATAAAGTAGCTGCTGAGTACATAGTATACTATACTATACTCTAGCTGTTCCTTGTTGATTAATTCATTCATTTTCTTTTTTCAGCTTAGTCCCTTATTTAATCTCGGTTCGCCATAGTGGAATGAACCACCAACTTATCCAGCACATGTTTTACGCAGTGGATGCCCATCCAGCTGCAACCCAACACTTGGAAACACTCATACACTCTTATTTACACACATACACTACGGACAATTTTAGCTTACCCAACTCAACTAAACCACGTCTTTGGACTGTGGGGGAAACCGAAGCACCCAGAGAAAACCTGAGGAGAACATGCAAACTCCACACAGAAACACGACCTTCTTGCTGTGAGGCGACTGCAATACCTTCTGCGCCACCGCTTCGCCCCTTGTTGATTCTAAACCTCCAAATACTTTTGATGAATGTAATAGTTTTGTTGATTTAGGCCAGTAGATTAACAGTAAAATCACTAAGCCTTTTGATGTACAATCTGATGAGCTTGTTGTTGTTTACAATGTGGATGGTGGATACACATACAGTTTATGAGCTTTTCCCTAATGCACTGTTGATTTGAAACACAGAGGCAGTCGGGTGAAGAGATTTAGCCACCTTTCCTAGCAGATGTTTGGGAGATTATCCATATCCATGCGTCACCAAAGGCAAGAGTCTGTCAACTCATTATACTGGAGTGACATAAGGGTAAAAAAGCAAAAACATTTATTTTGTTGATTTTAACTCTTTCTGGTTGTTTTGGATTCAGATGAATGGGATAAATTATATGTAAAATACAGCATAAAGTCAAACAGCTTATGAACAATCCCAGCGGATGTTTGATGTCAACACGACATTAAAAACGTCAAAAATTCAACTCATTTTGATATCAAAACCTTCATGTCCATTTCACATTCACACACTGATGTTTTTTTTTTTAACCACCAAAATAACATCAAAGACTATTATAATATAAGAAAAGTTTATTTATTTATTTATTATTAATTTTATTACTTCTATTTTTGTTATCATTATTATTATTACTGTTTTGACTTGCCCTCCTCTTATTTCCTCATTATTATGATTATTATTACTTCTACATTGTCATTCTTCAGGTTGCTATTGTAGTAGTGTATATAATATATGTGTATATAATTTTTTTTCTCTTCTCATTCATGTACTCTGACCTGTCCACCCAGTTACCTTTACCTCAGTACCTGACTGTATTGTTGTTAAGTTTTTTCATCTGTTCTTTGTTGTTTTGTTTTCTTTGTATGTTATCCCAATTTGTTTAACTCTTGCATATTCTAATAAATAAATAAAAAGTTTTATTTGAAAGCGTCAGTTACAAATTGGCACTGGATTTTGTATCTCTACTTTGCATGTACTTGATCAAAAACGAGATCAATTGGCTTCTAACATTGGCGTCCAAAAAAAAACATGTCCAAAATCCATTAGAGCACAGTCCTGCTACCCATTTATAAACTTTTTTTTATGCCAATGTTGGATGTCAATTAGATGTCGTTTTGAGGTAGTCAACTGACATCAGATTAATTAGAATTTCTGATGTATTTTATGACATGTTTTTGATGTTTAGTTTGTGCCTTTTGGAATGTGTGTGTGATACATAAATTATAACTAAAAACAGATTTACAGCTCGGTGGAAAGAAGACTTATCAATAAATAATGACTTGTTCCTCATAATTGCTTAGAAGACACTTTAAAATTGCTTTTGTGTGTGTGTGTGTGTGTGTGTGTGTGTGTGTGTGTGTCCATTGTAATCGTACAGAAAAGAGAAACAAGCATAGTCTTCAAAATATCTCCTGTTTGGAACAATTGAAGTAATATAAATATGAAAATGATTGAATAGAAGCGAACTAGTTCTGTGACCAAAGTCTTTCTATCATCTTTTCTATGCGAGAGATGTTTCATTTTTAACCTAGTTTCTCACAGAGGATCTCAGTTTTTAAATTCCAAGTCGTCTTTTTAGTATGAGTCAGTGTTCAATCCCCCCCATGCTGAGAGCAGAGGCAAATCTGCCATCCCCTCAAATATGATCCCTCAACAACAAAGATCTGAGCATGCTCAGTGGGGTCTGTGATGCTGTTGCTATAGGACTGTGGGGCTCAGAACCGCTGGGCTGGAGCAGGAGGAGGAGGGAGGCTGAGAGAAGCTCATGAGCCGAGGAGTGCAGAGCAGAAAGAAGTGGGATTAAACAGGAACTATATGAGAGATGTTACCCGTTTCCTATTTTTTTTAATTTTCTTTGCTTAGACTCTGCTGAGTGGATGTGGAGCATTAGGTTGTGGCCAGGCGGTGTGTTTGCTCCAGTTACTGGCAGTGCAGACAGAATGAGAGTGACTCTGTGCTGGCTCTAGGATTGATGGGGCTTCACGGATGGGTGAGTTGATGCAGTTGTCCGTGTTTAACAGCTTGACCACAGGGTCTTCATTTACTGTTAACCAAACAGAGAATTGTGGTGCTGGGATCTACAAATAAAATGCTCAGCATCTTTTAAATAACTGTGTTTGTTTTAATTAGTTATAGTTTGGGGACAGTTGAATCTAGAAGCAAGCAAAATAAGTCAAATGTGATTGCGTGTTCAGGTTTAAAGTGCCTACAGTTTCTGTGAGAAAAGCACATTACTAAGTAATCTTCTACCCAGTGTTATCTAAATGTAGAAAGTGTTACTGTAATGGCATTGTACTGGCACTGTAATGACAGAAAATGATTGGTTCAATATAAAAATAACTGAAACAAACAGGAAGTCAAACATTCTTTCAAGGGGTTAATCATCTTTAGGTACAAGTAGTCTAATTTAAAAACTTCATAATTCAACTTCATTTGTCAAGGCATCTAGACCAATATGTGTCATTTGTTTTGCAAAGAGGATTTATGTTTGATAAAGAATGCATATGAAAGAATTTTATAGCTAATCCGCTACATTTTTATTTTCTTCTTCAGAATCTGTCTTGAAAGCAATAAAAATGCAGGCATCTGAGGTTACAAGAGATTCTGCTGATGCTTGTGTTCACGCTGTTTATGTCACTTAGCCATCCTGTCATGCAAGGACTGATTTGAAGGTTGAAGTGCTGGTGCTTAGAAAATGGACGTCTCCCCAAAGTCAGGAGAAACTCTGATTGTGTGCCGCATCCACGGCCAGTCTTTTGGGTGGCACCTATGTAACTTGGTACAGACATCCAGGCGGCCACGCTCTTTGAATTTGACCCACAGTTTATCATTACCTGAGAGAGGCAATCTTCCAAGGGAAGCTCTTGACTTTGGCTGTCTAAATCACATCAGCAAGTCGAGTTCAACAGAAAGAGCAGATAAGAAGGGGACTGAAAATTCAAGAGGATATGAATCATCCCCAATGCTTTGGGTTTTGTCAGAGGACTCTCCATTGACCAGTCCTCCGCTTAAAAAAGAGGCATTGCATCGTAGATGTACTCCCAGATGGCAAAACCTCTTCATCCCTGAAGCAGAAGTGAATGAGGATGAAGAGGATGAGGACTCAGATGGGGACAACTTGCACAAGTACCATGAAGGGTCATCCCTTCAACTACAAGGAAACGTTACTCAAGGTAGTATGGATCCTTCGAGCCAAGCCAAAGAAAACAAAGATCAAGGTTGCAGTGATAGCAAAGGAACCCCTGTATTAATGGACTGTGATGAACAGGATTGGGGAGATGAGGAACACTTTAGCAATCATTCTCTTGAGGAACCTGATCATTGCTGTCCTCCAACTGAAAACCTTATCAAATCCATTAGTCAAAACCAAACAGACTATATCACTGACTCTTCCTGCAACAGTTCAGATGGAGTACTAGTTAACTTCAGTGCCATCTACAACAAAACCAACAATGCCGTTCCGGCTGCTCCATTTAACCTAGATAGTCCTGTTGGTGGACCATGTACAGTGTTACAAGACAGTTCAAAACCTTTGCCCAGTTGGTCATCTCACAACATTGATCCAAACTGCAACATCTTTCCATCAAACTCTGAATCCATTCCATCAATAGAAATGTCTGACCTTACCTTGTGTCTGCAGAGTCAGGCACGTTTAGCAGGTTCCACTCAGAATTACTATAAACTGGTGACGTGTGACCTATCATCCCAGTCTTCACCTAGCCCACCTTGGTCCTCTTTGACCAGTTTTTCTGAGACTCAAAGCCAGGGAAGCTGTTCTCCACCTTCTGAATATTTCCTCTTTGAACATTCAGAGGAAGAGAAAAGAGAGATGCGGAAGGCTGACCAAAGTGAACATCAGGTATTTAACCATCACCATACTATACTCATGGTAACTATACGATTTATGGTTTTGCTTAAAGTGTTAGTTCATCCAAAAATGAAAATGATGTTAATAATTACACACCTTTGTGTCACTGAAAAAAAGTAAGACTTTCATTCATCTTTAGAACACAAATTAAGATGTTTTAGATGAAATCTGAGAGCACGGTTCCCAACTCGTCCAATAAAAAAAGCTACAAGAACAGATTTGTGCACACATAAAGCAAATACAACAAATTCATTCAACAGTTTCTTCTGCTTATTGTCAGTATAAGGCATGCGTTCACATTTACCGACAGGACGCACATGACGTACAGTACACCCATTGGAATGACATTCAGTTATTAACTAAATTTTCATTTTTGGATGATCTAACCCTTTAGGGCGTTGGCCTCAGATTCCTGGAGGGCCGCAGCTCTGCACAGTTTTGCTCCAAACCTAATCAAACACAGCAGATCCAAATAATCAAGGTGTTCAAGACTACTAGAGACTATTAAACAGAGCTGTGGCCCTCCAGGAATTGAGATTGAGACCATTGCTTTAGGTTATTAAGGTGTAACAGATATATTGTTCATAGATTAGATAGCCATATACGGTTACATATACATAAATCTTGTAAATTATAATTGTGAAACTAAAACATTTAAACTTTTTCAGAGTGATGGGAACATTCAAATGAAGAATTCCAAACATGCCTCAAAGGACCAAACTAAACCAACAAAAGAGAGAATGAAACCCTGTCAGGCTGCCTCCAGAGAAAAGGATAATCGTAATTCTTTGAAGACTCCTCAGTCTCAGAGCTGGATTGGCAGCCATAAATGTACCTTATCAACACTGGGAGCCTTACAAAACAGCTGCCCCTGCCATTTAGACACAGGCTTATCTTCACCTTCGTCTAGGCAACATGCCACCTCTTTTGCAGAAATTGCCAGTTGTAAGAAAGGAATTGGAGAATCTTATTTAAAATTGACCACAGATGATCCATCAAGTTCAAGTTTCATCCATGAGATCACCTCCATCCAGAAACAGCTTGACTCAGAGATGATAACAAATACGAGTGCTGACAGCTGTATTTACTCCACTCCACAAGGTAAGGAGTATTATGAAGATTATTTAGTCCTTGCTTTTACAGGCTAACTGCAATAGTTATCCACACATTTTCCCTGTGTCTATAGGTGCATGTGCTTCATCTCCAGAAGTTGTGCGATACACTAAAGCACAAAGGCCCAACTTTCTCCCCATCCAACCCTTTGTGCTTCAGGCACCCTCAGGAAAGCAACAGAGCAAGGCACTTGGGTCCCTTCTTAATCAGTACATCAGCCACAAATACAGCAACCCTGGGCCATCCAAAGCATGCAAAAGCAAGGCAACTCCCTACCATTTGCAACCTTCTTCTCTCGATAGCTCCTCTACTATCTATCTGGAAGCAGTGACCAGTTCAGACACTTGTTCTACCTGCACATCAAGTCCTATTTTGCCCAATAATTGCCCCCCATGTACTCAGCCCTGCACCCTGCTGGGGCTCATTCACCAGGACTTGATGAATAGAAATCCACTTATGAGTCAGAATAGAAGATCAAGAACTCCGGAGCAATCCGATGATAGTCCAAAGCCCTGCTCAAGTCAAACATTATTAAGCCAAAAACAATTATATTCTGGACAAAGGGGTTCTGAGAATTGTCTTGCTGAGCAGATGCCCCTTGTACAAACACAGACTAATTCAGTACTAAAAAAGGAGACTACATGTTCGCCAGATGCATCTCATTCTTTACATCAAAGCTCCTCCCCTGCCATCACTTCAGTCACCTCCTTAACCTCTATTAACTCCCTCATCTCTCTGTCCACCACTGGATGGAAATCCAATGAAGATGTCACCACCAATACTTACCACATCTTTGGGCCAAAAGAGTCACCTTGTAAGTTTGTACCTATATTACTTTTTCTCTGTGTGGTGATCTAAAATATCCATGTATCATGTGCATATTAGAACAATTTGAATACTTCAGCAAGTTGGTAAGAATGAATTTGTTATGTGAAACTTAAAGGGACAATTGACCCCATAAAAATCGAAATTTTTTCACCCTCAAATGGTTCCAAAGGTTTCTTTCGGTTAAAAGCTGAAAACCTGTCAACTTCCATAGTAGGAAAAACAAATACAGTAGGTATAAATGGATACAGGCTTCTATAGCCTTCTTCAAAATATCTTTTTTGTGTGTGTTTAACAGAAGAAAGTAGTAAACAATGATATAATTTTCTTCTCTATTTCACTATTCAACTCTCCCTTTAGGGTTATATATTATTACAATAATTTATTCTAGCTTTCGCATCTCTGCAGGTGTTATGAGGGAACATCAACATGGTGACTCATTCTCTATGACTGACAACCCCCCTGAGCAGTTCAGTCTCTCACCAGAAGACCCTTCAGATCTACTTTCAATAGATCTTCTTCACAAGAGAAGTGAGATGATAAATAATCAGATCCTGCATTTTTTTTTTTGCATTCTACCCTGATTTTGTGCACATTTTTTTAGCAGCATGTACTGCACAGAAATGGCCAAAGCAGAAAATATTTCAGAAAAGCAAAGTACAATTCTGTCTAGAGCTGCTGTTGAAGGCAAAAAATCCCTCCTGTTAAAGAAAGATACAGAGTGGATCTCTGCAGCATTGCCTCTGCTTCCCTGAAGGGAAAAATGTGACCTACTTATAAATCTCAGTGCCTTAGATTGGCTAAAACACTCGCCATGTTTGTGTGTGTGTTTCTCTGTGATCACAAATGTGTGTACCACTATATGTTTATTCTTTAGAAGCTTTTATGCAGCTTTATTTGCAGTTGTTCTTACTCTTCATTGGTTTTATTAACAGCAAAATAACTCAAATATTGTATGCGTTTACATTTACGCATTTGCCAAATTCAGTTGAAATATTTATAAATTAGAAACACTGTTGATCATTAGAATGTGTTAATAAATTAAAATATTCCACGTCTTTCCATTATTCTGCAGGTATGTTGAAAGCTGTGAGTTTGGCAGTGAATGATATAACAGCACACTTTAACTCAAGACGAGATCCAGAAGAAAAGGTAGTATCGATGGTCAAAGAAGATTTTTTTTTTAAATAAAGAGGAAAGTGGGTTAAAATATCCTGGAAAGATGCATCAATGATAATACCTATGGGGGCAAATTAGACTGCCAGTCAAAAAACAGGAAAATCTATTTTTGTTTGAAGGCTATGAAAAGCTTTTCTTTTGACAGTACAGCAAGTGATAAAGGTCAAGATGTTGCAGTTTAACAATTATATTGACATAATATGTCCATAACAAAAATAAATAAATAAATAAATAAATAAATAAATAAATAAATAAATAAATAAATAAATAAATAAATAAATAAATAAATATTGTGTTGTTTGAACCTGAAGACTGAAGACTTGCTTTGTCTTTTTTTTCCAGATCAGACTAGGAAATAGTTTACTGTGCTCCACTATCAACCATCTTGTCCTTAAACAGCTTTACCCCAGAATCCAGAACATCCTTCAAGATGGTTTAAAAGCCTATACATTGGATTTGATTATTGGACAAAGACGTAACAAACTATGGAACGTCATTGAGGCCACGGCACAACCAGGTCTGTGGGAGCCATTCAGATGAAAACCAAGTAAAATAACTTTACTTTCAAAGTGCCCTCAAAAGTTTATGAGGGGTTCTAGATGGTAGTAGCCTTGCTTGCTACTCAGACTCAAAAATAGTTTAATGGAGATTGTACAGTGGCATATGCATAGAAATACATAGAGAGAAAAATACGTATTGAACATGTCACCATTTTTCACAGAAATAAAATGTATTCCTATAAAGTTTCTGTTGAACTCAATTTTTCACCAGATCTCAGTAGCAATTAATCCATGCATACAAAGAAAACAAAATTAATTTGTTTAGAAAATGAAATGACACAGGGAAAAGTATTGATCAACCTAAAAAAAAATATTCAAAGGTGATTTCTTGGATTTAACTTTTTTAAGCTAAGTGGTTGTAAACAATTTATTTGTGCTGAATTGTTTAAATTCAACCCAAATAAATAGTTTGCAATAATTTAGCAAAAATAATTTTTACAGTGCATGAAGACATGTTTAAGCTTTTTATAAAAAAAAAAAAAATTGCAAAAAAACGTGGAAAACCCAAACAGCAGCTGAAATCTCCCAGTAGTTATTTAGCAACCATGCTCCTCATCAGTGTTAATGAATATTAGCCAATGACTACAAAATCTGGGTCACTTTCATGTCAACAGCTCCTTTTAAAATATATTGATGATGTGTTCAATACTTTTTCACCCAATGACCAGTATATGTACAGTTGAAGTCAGAATTGTTAGCCCCCCTGTATTATTAGCCCCCCTGTTTATTTTTCCCCATTTTCTTTTTAACAGAGGTTTTTTCAACACATTTCTAAACATAATAGTTTTAATAACTGATTTCTAATAATTGATTTATTTTATCTTTGCCATGATGACAGTAAATAATATTTGACTAGATATTTTTCAGGACACTTCTATACAGCTTAATGTGACACTTATAGGCTTAACTAGATTACTTAGGGTAATAGGCAGGTTAGGGTAATTAGGCAAGTCATTGTATAACGATAATTTGTTCTGTAGACAATGGAAAAAATATAGCTTAAAGGGGCTAATCATTTTGTCCTTAAAATGGTGTTTAAAAATTAAAAACGGCTTTTATTCGAGCCAAACTAAATCAAATGAGACTTTCTGCTCAACAAAAAATATTATCAGACATACTGTGACTTTTTTTGCTCTGTTAAACATCATTTTGAAATAGTTAAAAAACTAAAAAAAATTAAAGGGGGGTTAATAATTCTGACTTCAACTAAATATATAATTATTTTTTATTACTAGTTAGAATTTTTGCAAACTTTTATTTTACCGAATACACTACTTTAGCGAACCAGAACTAGATTTATCATCCAGTCTGAAGAAAACAGCGCAGACCGTTTCTACTTGCAGTTGTATTTGGACACTGCTCATTTTTTAATCATTTTCAATGTTTATATCTTCATAGGCTCATCTACCCGACTGCCTGACAGCTTGGTGTCTGTTGTAAAAAGATGTTCCCATATACCAAGTCACAAGCGGCTCAGTGTTTTCTTCACAGATCTGCTAAAGTAGGTCAAAAACTGAATACATTTGTAAAAATACTTCCAAAGTAAAGATATCTAATGAATGTATCGCTCTGCAGTTTGCGTGCGTTGGAGTTCTGGATCCATCATTTATACACTTCCATTGGTAGGTACTGCATTATAATATTTAGAGGTGAAAAGAATATGTTTGTTATCTCTGTCCAGATACTTATGATTTTTATACTCGGTTCTTTCCAAGATGTTGTTACAGAACACTACTACCAATGGGGATTCTTAGCTCTGGCCCAGGGGCCCACTTATGGACCACTTTTCCAGGAAATGCTTCTTTTGCTGCAGCCACTTTCCCTGCTTCCATTTGACCTCCACCTTCCATTCCAAACTAACCTTCAATGTAAGGAAAAATCAAAACAAAGAGGATCCCTATCTCATCACCTTCTAGCCCAGTCAGCTCAAATCCTTCAGATGAGCTCTATCCAGACAACCAGCAAGAGTGCAACAGGTCACAGTGATGCCAGCAAAATGGCCAGATTTAAAGAGACACAGTGTGTAATACAGAAGAAAGAAGATGAAGCAGCTGAAAAGCAAAACAGTGAAATGGCCCAATCTTCAAGTCTTCTGGAGGATAAACACTTGAGTGAGCTAAAATGGGCCAGACTCTTTGGCTCTGGAGTCTCTAAAACGCCAGTTTGGCCTGAAAAGTCCCAAAAAAATCTTACTAGGTTGGTAGTTGTGATTTCTTAAAAGTTCTGATGAATTTACTGTGTTATCTTTGGTTGTTTTTATATTAAGACATTTGTTCTCCTCCAGGAGGCCATCAGAATGGCTGAAGCTTGGTGCATCAAAAGTGGATCTGTTTGCTCAGTCAGTGTGGACAAGAAAATGGCCAGAGCAGTAACCATGACAGAGACACATGCAGCAGATAAGGATGAAATATTACCTCTAAAGTGCTCCCAAGGAATATTGGCACAACTAATTCAAAATTCAAATCAGCTGAAGGACATTTTAACTTTATAATATGGGGCTATTAAAGGCTTGATTCTGATTGGTTGATCAGAATCAAATGCTAAGGTTTGTGATTGTTTTCAAGATAATTCACAGCTAAAGTAGTTCCTGGCAGGTTTTGCTGATAATAACGTTCCACCAAACTTCTGCCAGATTTTTTCAATTATTTTAAAGATTCTTACACACAAACATCCTGACCAAGCAAATAAATATATTACACAATAGTATAAAAATGAATAATTACTTCCTGTAATTCTGTATTTTTATGATACCTACTCTCCTTTTCCCACTCTATCTCCCATACAAGCACGCATACATACATTACAGATATGCCTTCTCTTGCAGAGGGACGTGCTTTCAGTGCTGCCTCGTGACTTTATCAATAATGTAGTTTTAGAACGAAAAATCTACTTTGCAATTCAGTTGCAACAACTACCAGTACTGTTGAAAACCCAGAGACTCAGGTAATTTACACATAAATCACTCTCTCTTTTATCGGAGGATCAAATATCCATTATAAACTCTGAAATGTTTTGGAATTAGCAACTGAGTAATGAAATACTATCCATGGGAAATTAATCTAATCCTACAAAGAAAATTTTAAGAGTCAAACCCTAAAAAATATTTTGAAATAAATAAGCTGGATAGAGTCTTTAAGTTTGGTAACAATAGTATACATGTACTGTACACTAGGTGAAATAATTGACTGCGGGCCGTTGAATTATTAGTAAATAATCCACATCAATAAATAAAGTTCACTCTTTTTTCCGTTATTATTTATAACAGGGGTGTTCAAACACTTTAAGGACCGGTGTCCTGCAGATTTTTAGCTCCAACTAGCCTCAACACATCTGCAAGGATGTTTCTAGAAAGCTTAGTAAGAGCTTGATTAGCTAGCCCAGGTGAGTCTGATTGGGGTTGAAACTAAACTTTGCAGGACACCGGCCCTCCAGGACCGAGTTTAGACATGCCTGATTCATAATATAGTCAAGAAATGCTCCAGTGTAAAATGCAATTGCACCAATTTCGTTTCTGGACAGAATGTTGCCTTAGTGATTTACCAATCAGGTGAATTTGTATTATAACTTAGTCTTTAAAAGTACCAAAATATTCACCTCTAAACTGTAAGCCATGGTGTGATGAAGGTTTTTTAGATTGAATTTTTAACATAGCTAAAGTAATAGTACACAGTATATAACAAAGACAGACATAATCTTTTAACAATTAAGCACAAAACTGGAGTTGAGGTCCCCAGAGGGGTTTACCCAACAGCCCCTGCACTTTATCTCTGTCTCAGGTCATTGTAATTCTGGTCATATCCTTTCTCCTGTTGAACTATGTGGCTTTATGAAAGGTAAATTTCCTCATGGTCTGTTTGAAATCATTTCTATAACAGAAAATTAATTTCCACGCATGATACAACTGCTTAAATATCTAAGCATGACAAAACAATAATTTAACATTTTCAGTATTCAGTAAATTACAGCCGCTGGTTTTATTGCAATTTTGCACAATAAAATCTACTAAATATTGCTATTTTCTTTGATCAAAAGTGCATGCTGAGTACTTATACTGTGTTTTGCTGCTTTAATGAAGTAGTGATATTTGTTGATAAATACATTTGTCCAAGTGTGACCCGTGATGTTAGTGATACCAAAAAAGAGTTCATTAACAGTTTGATTTTGAGTGTTTTAACATATTTTTTTTCTTATTTCCTGATGAAGTTGTGCCTGATTGAACCCTTGTGATAATAAAGATTTGTTGAGTCATCAGTGTTTGTTTTGTGTGATTTGAATTGAAAGTGTTTGTTAAATGAATATAATTTGAAACAAATTGCATTTCTGTAGTTTACAGAATCAAAAGTTGTTGATCATTTACATGCCAATATTAAACCACACAAATTCCAGCACTTTAAAGTCAGTATGGTGAATCTGACAATACATGACAATGGTAAATCAACATGTTGACCATATTACTTTAATTGTCTTTAGGTGAGTTGTGTGTGAACTGTTAGACCTTCAGCTCAGCCTAATTGCCCCTGCGTTCTTCTGTGAAGCAGTGTGACCCAGAGCATTATGGGTGAGTTTCCCAAATGTATGGCCATACTGAAATCTGTACCCTGTTGACATAAAGTGACAGATTTATTTTGCTCTATAACAGCACAATTTCTGCTAATATATGACTATCTTCACTGACCTGGTATGTGGCCTGTGTAGGATGGCAGGAGACCTGTTTTGGAGGGGTATATTGTGGGTATCAGAGGTAAGTTGGAGGAATCCTCCTCCTGCAGGCTATATTTCTGCAAAGATGCCGGACCTGCCTTCATTTCCTTGCTAAACTGGATCAATGCCTTATTGGTGATGGTAGGATATCCAGTACCAAAGAGAAACCGGGCTTTGGGGACATAACCAGTAAAACCTGTCGAAAGAACATTTGTTACACAATGGTGTGAAATGTAGAGCTAATTTCAAGCTAACAATTTATGGCTCAGAATGTGCTGAGAATGTTAGTCAAATTAATCAGGACTCATAAAAGATGATTTATACACGGTAATATCATAAATATATTACTTATTAGTTATTCTAAATAAAAAAACAGATTAATTCAAAAAAAATATCTATTAAGGTGGCACGGTGGCTTAGTGGTTAGCACTGTCACTTTACAGCAAGAAGGTTGCTGGTTCGAGTCCTGGCTGGGCCAGTTGGCATTTCTGTGCAGAGAGTGCATTTTCTCCGTGTGTTGGCATGGTTTTCCTATTGGGTGATTCGGTTTTCTCAGGGTGTGTTATTTATGGTTACAAACGAATCGAAAAATAACCATTAGGGAATCTTTTGTTGCAAGCATAAAGTTATTTTTATGTTTTTAAAATATTTACGTAAATAAACAACATAAATGAAACAAGTATGTCAAGGAAATGTCAGGGAAATGTGTTTGCGCCTTTACATTTACAGTGCATTTATACAATGATTTGCTATCCTCACTGAAAAAAGTGTTGCATGCAGAACTGTTGCAAACAATTTATTTGTGGTGAATTTAAACAAACAAATTAAGTTTAATAATGTTCAACTTAATTTGTTTGTTTAAATTCAGCCCAAATAAATTGTTTACAACCACTTAACATAAAAAAATTGAGTAAATCCAAAGAATCATCTTTGAATAATTTTTTTTCAGTGTACAGTGATCTGGCTAACCTGAGATGAAATACTTATGTGGGCTACTGTCCTCCATGAAGTACGGTGAGCCTGGTGGCTTCCAAGGGTCAGGGGCCTTGTATGGAGCAGGATCTTTAGAAAGGGCTATCAGAGGGCTGTTCGATCGTCTAGGCTGCAAAAAAGGACAAAAATTAGGTTCAACCATCATGTTTAAATTATGTGTGTATTTTTAATTATGTCAAAAAACTTTTATACAATACTGTTCTTAACATATGAAACTCTCACAAATCTCATAGATTAAACTAGGAATGCATAATGGAATACTGAATCCAGTAGTGTTCTCATTAGAGCAGATTTCAGTTGTCCCCACATATTCAACTCTCAAAATTGGATTGACAAGGCACTATAGAAATAAAGATAAATTGGACTTCCAGAATGTAGTTTTCAAATGGCTCCAAATGACGAATAAAGGCCTATTCACACCAAGCATGATAACTATAAAGTTAATGATATAGTTCTAAAAATAGTTCAGTGTTAAATAGCATAGTTCACACCACAAATAGAATGATTAAAACACAAAGGAATGATATCATTGGGATCACTTTAAGAATGATTTTTTCCAAGCTGATGAATGACAAATCCCGGAAAGTCAGTCAAAATGAAAATGAAAGGGCTTGCGCAATTTAAAGACAGAGTCAGAAGACACTGCCGAGAAGCACACTGCTTGCTGGTAAGTCCTCTCTTAAAATATTATTTAAAGATAATGACTCCTGTAAACAAATAATTATACCATGGAAAATAATGATAAAAAAAGTTATGAAATTCATACTGGCAAATTAAATTACAGAAGTACCACAGAAATCCAGTGCTAGTTTAAGTGTCTTAGTGTTAGCTTCTTTGAAAATTTTATTTTATTTTTTAATTACCAAGAATGCATATCTGCCAACACCCCTATCTTTCCCAGGAGTTTCCCGTATTTCAGACCCATTTCCCGCCACCCTCCCATTTTGCTATTTCTCCCAGAAAACTCCTGTCAATTCACACCCCCCTCAAGTCATCAGCTATTTGGTACAGCATGAAACAACAACCCCAGGTAGCCAACTTTAATATAGTTTCCGATCCCACAGTGCAGTCATTAAGCCGGTTCTCAACTCTGTTATTCAGGCAAACACAAACCGCCACCCCAACTTCCCCCAACCCTCAATCCCGTTCTACTGGAATTTCAGAAACAAATGTTGGCAGGTATGCTAATTTTACTGTTTGATTAGATAGTATACTCAATAGTATGTCCAGATGCAGTAGTAGCACACTGAAGACACTTGCTGGTTACAGAGGATACTGCTGAATTAAAAAGATAATCTAAAAATAAACAGATCATTATTGTTCATCTGTGTGGACACATATACTGTATTTATCGTTATATTTATATTTTTCACGCTTGGTGTGAACAGGCATTGAGTCATTATCTTGAAACAATTTAACCGCAAAAGCTTATCTTGCCCAAGTTCCATGATGCATTTTGTGCATTAGATTTTTATTTTATTGAAATTGTTTATTTTATTGTTTATGTTTGATGTAATTACATTATTTTATGTTCATATTTCTTCATGACTGAGGAAAAAAAACATTATTTTTGACAAGGTAGGTGAATAAATTATCTTAATCTTTTTCTTTAGGAAGTGAAATAATCTTAATAATACCATTTGAAAAAGGCCCAGATAGTGTGCCCTTATGAATCAGGGGATTTTCACAGTTTGCTTTAACACAATGAGGTGATAATTGCCTGAAATCATGTGGTGTCCTGATTACAGAGCTTGTTTCTCAATGGCGTTTCTTTCTTTTATTCACAGGGCATGTGACACTTGACCTGCTTTGATACTGGATATTTAGCATGTATAATTAAACAGGGTGACCCAGCCTAGGAGAGCTGTAAACCTTACTCTGAAGTCTGGGACACTGTTGATGACAGGAAAAGACAGGTCAGCAGAAGCGTTGTGAAGTCTCTTTGCTTGCTCCTGGTTGAACTCTGACAGAGCATCTCGACAGGTCTCTGCATACGTTTTGCAGATGTAGTTTTGGCGCAATGGGACGAAACCTTGAAGCACAGTGAACAAATATGGAGAAAGTTAACAGTGCTGCAAAGTAGACACCAAGTATGACAAAGCCCATGTTGCTAATAACCTGTGTAACCCGGGATCATAGTTTCCAGGTTCCTGCTTGCCCCATGTCTGCTCCACCAGATCTGACTGCGGGATGCTGTTTCCTTCTCTGTGGATGAGAGAGGACTGGTTTGGAGCACAAGCCTCTGTGAGTGGGATACCTCCGGGGAAGTTAGGAGCTTTGCTGTCAACTGACCATAAGTCTGGCCCACATGATACTTCAGCTGAGGACAGTAGCCTGCATACCTAAACACAACCAGTAGCAGAAGCTTTGAATAGTGATTTGTCAATGTCAACTAAGCATATATGCACTCAAATTTTCTGACAGTTCACCCAAAACTACCCACAAACCCATTTTCTTTTTTAGTTAAACACAAAAGAAGAAAGTTGAAAACATGTAATAGAATTTTTTTTACTCTTACTAAAGTAAGAGTCAATGGTTACCGGTTTCTAACAGTTGTTTTTATCTAAACATCTTTTGATCTAACATATTTTATGTTAAAAGTAAAAAAGAAACTCATTGAGGTTTAGAAACACTTGAGGGTAAATAGTTAGTATATTTTGAATTTTGAGAGAACCATCCCTTTAATTTATACAATTATATATTATACTTTATGCATTATTTGACAACATTACAAAAACTTGACGATAAAGTGATATTACCTTAATATTAGACACTTTAATATGAGACATCTCACAATTATTCCATGGTGTATATGACTTTCATCTTTAGATAAATGTTCTTCCAAACATATTTTAAATCCACAGAATGCCAGTGCACAATAACCCCATGTTTCCTCTTTATAAACCATGCAAAGGGAACATGACAGTAACCCAAATGATCCCGGTGCATGAATTTCTTCAGATTGATATTTTCAACTTTTCAAACTAAAAACAAAGTAAATGACACATTGTAAAGTGTGATGTATCCCTGTAAGTATGCTTTTCACACAAAAATAAATGTCAGTCCTGCAGTCTTCATGTCCACATGATCCATCAAAAACCTTTCTAATGGGTTATATGCACAGCTAGTGTTTTTTAGCCTTTGATAAACTTCCAGTGAAACCTTAATGTTACTGTTTTTAATTTCATAAGGTTCCTTTTACAGCATTGATGTTGTAATGTAAGTACAATACATTCAGTTAAATAGACTTAAGCATTAATTTAGATGTTCAAGTGTAAAACGAGATGAAAGATGTTGTAACCGCTAGCGCTGTCAGGATCAGTAGATGAGAGCAGAAACTCCATTGAAAATACTGGGGTTAAATAAACTGTCTTGTTTTAAAGACTTGGCGGGGTAAATGGAATTTAATGCAGTGCTTCTTGTCTGGTCTGAGACACACTTTATATCTTATATCTATTAGGCAGTGAAGATCACTGATTTTTAAAGAATTCAGACCTTAAACGTGGCAATTTTATAATGGAAAGACAGTTCACAGGAAGCACTGAGGGTGGCTGGCTGAAATTAAAAGTCTGTGTGCATATACCCCACTTGCTGCTAAAATCAATTACTATTGTTTATGTTCATGTTATTATTAATGTTAAAATATTTTTTTCCTGTTTATATTTTTGTGCAATATGTTAAATATTTATTTTTTTAGCATTCTTTGATGGACAGTATACAAAATATTTTGTAACACACTATAAATCACTTTATCGTTCCTTTTAATTAAATAAAATTGTTGCTGATTAATAAAATTAACTGTTAATTTAAAAGAAAAGAACACTCTTATATATTGCAGTCTATCACTGAATATTACACATTACAGCTCCATATTGTCATTTCACAACCTACAACAGTCAAAATTCAAATCAAAACAAAACAAAAAGCATTGGGCATTCATAAGAGACTTATCCCACACACAAGAGCAGTTTGAGGACACAAACTTGTCAAATGTGTTGAGATACAACTTCAGCACATTCTCTTTTTTTGTGGTAACAATTGTATAAGCAGAATAATTAACTCAGGTACATTGAATTAGAAAATAACACACTACTGTGGTTTTCAGGATTTTAAGTCCAGAATAAATTAATAAAACAAACATCTTTCCATAAAATGAATGTGGTTTAATTCTTTGAATCTTGTGGATTAAAGTTGGTACATATACTTTGGACAGACAGGCAGACAGGTTATATTCAATTCCTCCACAGACAACTGGAAGTAGAAATGCTTCATTAGACTGATGTTTTAAGTTCAGTAACGTTACAATTATTGGAACAAAATAAGAAATAAATGAATGAATAACAGTTTATGGAAATACTTCTAAACTCACCCTGGGATGTACTGCGGGTCTGGTGTCACCAGCACTTTGCTAAATTTAGGAGGAAACAGATCCATATTTTAAAAGTGGCCGCAGACCGTTTTGAATGTTGTGAAACGGTTGCTAGTGAGGGAGTCAAGGTGAGCTGCGTCTGTCAAGAGCGCGCAATTACGTGACGTTACGTATTGTGCCCTCTTCTCTTCCCAAACGCGTACCCCTAAAATATACGATAAAATAATTTACATTTCTTACCTTCGTGGTTACTATTAATTCATTTGGTAATAAAGCTTGGTCTGTCCGCACTGAGTAGTACTGGGTTGCAAAAATTTCTAAAGTTAGGTGCATTTGGCTGGTGTTGTTGGGTATTTATGTTGACCTAGTAAAGATAATGGTTTACATGACAAGTCATTTAGTTGTGATGCTGCAGCCTCTGGTGGCTAACAGTAGAAATGCAGCCACACAAAAAAAGAAGTAACGTTAGCCCAGCTCTAATGAAATAATTAGCAATGAGATTGACCTAAGAGGATATAATTATTTTTATAAAGTCAGTCACTGACTCAAGTCCATTAAACTGTTAAAAAAATTAATTAAATTTACGAGTAATCTTCATCATGGTATCTGAGGTACACCGTGTTATACAAATAGCAGTCAAATCACAGCAGTAGGCTGAAAAAATAGCCTAGGTATGCATGCTGGTAGGGCTCATATTATCTGGCTGATTTGCACATGCAAAAATGAAAATAAATTTTGTCATCATTTACATTCTTTACATGTTTCTTACCTGTCTGACTTTTGTTGTTCTGTTCAACGCTAAATAAGATATTTTGAAGAAAGATGTTGTAAACATGTATTGACCACAATATTTGGTTTTCCTATGTAAATGGCTGCATTTTTTTTAGCTTTCTTCAGAATACATGTGTTCAACAACATAAAGACACAATGTTTTGGAACCACTTGACAGTAAAAAAAAAATGTAAGTACATTTTCTTTTTTATGTGAACTATCCTTTTAAATTTCACATAACTATTTGTTTATATGGTTAGAGAATACTGTAGCACTTCAGGGAGACATATCAGTGGTAGGCTATTATGTGTAAGTAAACAACAACTTGAATGTCTGGTTCCTCAGCTATAAGAAGATTTCAGAAGTTTGAAATTTAGTGTGTGTGTGTGTGTGTGTGTGTGTGTGTGTGTGTGTGTGTGTGTGTGTGTGTGTGTGTGTGTGTGTGTGTGTGTGTGTGCGTGCATTCGTGCGTGCATCCGTGCGTGCATCCGTGCTTGTGTCTTTTTGAAGTTCATATATGAAAGGCCAGAGGTCTAGCATCTCCTAAAGTGCAAGGGACCAGTGCTGTCTTAACACGAGAGTCCAAACATTTAGATAATTCAAATGTGTGCAACAATGGGATCATTATGTCATGGTATAATACAGTTAACACATATTATTGTGATAATACTAAAAACATAACAGAACATCTTTATAGCAGTGCCCCATGCTCTAGATGCATTCATTTTTAAAGTTTGATTTGGGATTTGCATAAATTTATTTTCTCTCTGCTGTTGCATATTTATTTTTTCCCCTGCATGGACAGAAAGGAATAATGATGTTAAATGGGAATGTCTTTCTCTAGATGGGTCATGCTAAATACATATTTACTGTGCTATGTGTTTCTTGCCATCAATTATAAATTACATGAATCAATTAAGCGCCGTTGTTTTTTTCAGATGGTATTAACGAGCTCTTGTAACCACTAGAATGAAAATAATCCATGTAAGCATTCCAATTGAGTACATTTTTGAAATGGTCAGAAGCTCAGAATGTTAAAGATGAAGTGACTTAATTGAAATTAATTAAAGGTTTAATTAATTAATGATCACACGACCTTTATAAAAATGAGCCATAATTTTATTGTAGTAAAGTTGTAGTATTCATGTTTTTAACTCATGGTTAATCCATGGTTACAGTAAAATAAAATGGCCAAGATTTTAACGGTGAAGAACAGTAAAATGCTACAGTATTTGGTAACACTTTACAATAATAGTTCATGAATAATGATATATTAATATGTAAACTAAACATTACTTTATTATGAATTAATGATGAGTGATGCACTAACCATAAACTAACTTTAACTACAACATGAGTCACAAGAATTCATGTGTGAATAACGTCTACCTGAATTACTTGTTAGTACATCTTTTTAATTAATGTATTAATTAACATTTAAGTTTAAACTAAATGTAACCAACATGAACACATGAGCTGTTAATGTATAAATATGTCATGACTTTATTTGGAGGGGCACATCACCATAACCTTATCCTTTACTACTCATGAACTAAACTTGATGTTGGTGTTATATTAATAATTCAAATTCTTATATTCACTCAATCCTACCTGCCCATTCTAGTGTGTTGGGCTCATGACTGGTGCTTGGTAACATTACGGGGCCTGGTTCATCACTGCTAACAGCAAACTGGACAAGAGGCTTCTGCTGCTAGAGCTAGAGTACAAACAAACATTTGATTAATAAACGGTGGTTTGCAGACATGGTTGTTTTGCATTGCTCCCTAACTAGCATTACGTTAACTTACAGGCCGTTTCTTCGTCTTTATGTGTTGTTGTACTCCCGCTGCCGCTGGTTTTAACAAAAAATGTACTCAGCTTTTTTAATTCTGGCCTTTTCAGTGCCACCTTTGCGCTTTTATTGTCTATTTTTCATCTCTTGCATATCTCTTAACAAATTATTTTGCAGATGAGCTAGGTGCAGGGGCGGACTGGCCATCTGGCAATTCTGGCACATGCCAGAAGGGCTGGACCATTTTTAAAACTTGGGCCGGTATGCTTTTTTAAATTATTTTTTAAAAAATGTAAAAAATGTATATGTATTGTTTTTACATGCAGGCAGCTTTTATCCCTTGCAAGATGCGAATATTAGGATGATGATGATAATAGTAATAATAATAAATGTTAAGCGTTGGCCCAATCGACAATGGCCGGCTGGTTTCAAGATGGGCCGACCCAATTACAGGTTACACGGATGTAATCAAAATCTGGCAGGAATGTCAAACAAACAACAAGCTAATTGTCAGAGATGGACTGTAAAAAAGGAAAAGCGTGCCAAAAAGCTCAGAGAATGCATAACATTGCTCTAAAATCAGACGCTGCCAAATGCATAAAATTAACTGAAATAGTCTCGAAAGACAGAACAGTGGGTAGCACTGTCGCCTCACAGCAAGAAGGTTGATGGTTCAAGCCTCGGCTGGGTCAGTTGGTGTTTCAGTGTGGAGTTTGCATGTTCGCGTGGGTTTCCTCCTGGTTTTCCCCCAAGTCCAAACACATGTGCTATAGGTGAATTGGGTTGGCCTAATTGTCCGTAGTGCATGTATGAGAATGTGTGTGTGTTTAGGGGTTTCCCAGTGATGGGTTGCAGCTTGGAGGGCATCCGCTACATAAAACATATGCTGGGATAGTTGGCGGTTCATTCCGCTGTGGCGATCCCAAATTAATAAAGGGACTAAGCCGAAAAGAAAATGAATGAATGAAATGACTGTATGTATATTTGTTATGAACGGGTTGTTTTTGTTCCAGTCACATACATTAAAAGTTTAAATATCTGTCTATCTAAATGTTAATGTGCGTGTCCGTGGGTGGGGCTGAGTAAGTGTGGTATTGTGGGCTGGTGTGGCTACAGTGCCAGTGCTGATTTTTAGTCCCAGTCCGCTCCTGGCTAGGTGCCACTTACTATGTTTACATGGACATCAGTAATCAAATTATTTGCCTTAATCTAATTCAGACAATAATAAGGCGTTTACATGAGTTTTTTATTTATATTATTACATTTTACATGTTATAACACATAACTCCGGAGTTTCATATAATTTCAGGTGTTTCATTTTTTTCGTTTGTCAACTTTAAAGTGCTGTTTGGCTCTTTCACTTTAAATCAGGAACTTTTCATGCATGCCCCCCATGACAAACGAGATATTGGATGCAACTATGAACTGCTGGAAGAGTGTTGTTTTAGTGGAAGTTCATACCGCATACTGAATGAAAGAAAAAAACCTCCGCATTTTACGATGCAGGTATCTGTGGTCTGCACTGACTTGTGCAAATAGTGTCAAACAGCCGTGTGTTTGTGTGTGTGTGTGTGTGTGTGTGTGTGTGTGTGTGTGTGTGTGTGTGTGTGTGTGTGTGTGTGTGGACTATCCTGTCGCAAAGCACGGCGAAAAGTCCTACATGTTGGTAATAGTTTGATTAAGGTGTTTACATGTCTGTACTGCACTTTAATAATGCGACTAAAATTGACATACATGTCTTAATTCGATTACTCTTTAGTTCAATTATGACCTTAATCTGATTAAATTAATCAAAAATCACTGTGTACATGGTAGACTCTTAATCAGAGTATTGTCTTAATCACATTAAAATTAAATTATTGGTGTCCATGTAAACATACTTACTATTGGGGTGTTGAATGATAATTACGTCATCATTAAATTGTGGACTGCATTCTGCTCATGGGGCTGCAAGGAAATAAATAAAAGAGTGGAGCTGCGGTAAAATAATGAATGAAAACAGTGGGGCTGTGATCAAATAAGTAAATAAATAAATAAATGAAAAAAAGAGCGACTGCTGAGAGTGCAGGCCCTTGCAGGCCCTTGCAGCCAAAAAACGGACTGGCCCACCTGAAATATTCACTAGTATTCATTTACTAGACCCATGTTAAAGTTCACCTAACACAGTCAAATCAAGTAAAGTCTATTTTGCCTAAATTAGTAAAGTTTACAAGCCTTTTTCAAGTAGATTGAGGTATTACTTTTTACAGTGCCTGATCATTCTTACAACTAATTAAGAAAATAAAATATTTAGGAATATATTATAAGCATATCTGATTTCTGGGCTGAATTTTCCTCCACAATGTTACACATTCTGCTTTAATTTTTAATATTGTTATTGCAATGATGACCTACTTTCTTTCTTCTTCTCCTCCAGACAGAAACCAGCAGTTTCCCTGAATTCGTTTTAGGTCTTTGCAAACATTTCGTCACCTTCACAACATGTCTTGACAGATCAGCCAAGAGCATGAGCTCAAGATTTTAGGAATGGCAACCGGAAGTGGAGCGGTTGTCAAAGACTGATTGAAAAGCATGGGTGTAGGAATGTGGGCGGCCCGTGAAAGGTGTTTTTAGTTCTAAGTGACAAATCGACCTGCAGTCTTGAGAAAGTCAAGGTGCTGCGAGACAGTTCTGAAGGTCTCACTGACTCTAAGGAGAGAAAGTAATTTCCAATGAATCTTTACAGGAGTTTTGGGAATATTTTTGAGAATTTGGTGGCTAAAGGCTATTCTGATTCAAGCTTTCATTCACCAGCTGGTTTGGACAGAACAGATTCAGTGTCGAGGGAATCTGTTCCACTTTCCAATGTAAAATCAGAATCTGAGGACTCAGGAGTTGAGACGATTAGTACGACTAGCCCCTGTCATTCTCACCAATGTAGTGGATTGACCTCTGAAGAAATACATCCAGTTTTTGATTCTACAGAGGATCCTCCATCTCCGTCTCCATCTATCTGTTCCTCCTCCTCCTCGAATGTCTCACTTGGCACTGTGGCTCAGAAAACCACATGTCTGGAAGTGGAGCAAGCTTTAAGAAGAGCAGAACCATCCTGTAGAGAAAAAAGTTGGACTACTGGACTGTGGTATGAAAGCAATACAACCTCTTTTTCGACCAGCTGTCATCTCATTGGCTCCAGAACAGAAAATCATCGGTTTGCTCACCCAAGGAGAACGCATTCACAACCTCCAGATCCACAGAAAGCGGAGCTGTACAGAAAACACCTTAAATTACGCCATCATGGCTACCCAGTTGACAGACAGGTAGAGGTGAGCAGTTAATATCTTGATTTATAAGTGTTTGTTCACAACTTACTTTATTTTTATTTTTTTAGGGTCAGGCTTTTAATAGAAACTGCTATTAGGGAACACCCGTTAGCATAAAACCTTTAGCACTGTTTTATCTCTTTATTTGCCATAAAATAATTCACATTTATGATGAATGTAATCCTCCTGTTTCACTGAGTGCACACTTTGCTACGTCACCGTGAGCTGCTTCAGATGAACTTGACACAAACATGACACGCAAAGGTCATTATTCATCTCACACGCTTGAAATCAAACACTCTTCATGCTCCACACATTTACCTGGTATTTACACAGATTTTAATCATACCCGTAACATGCTTCATGCCTTCATCATGGCTGGAATGTCTGCATGATTTTGAAAAAGAAATGAAAAACAGCAACTCGAAAGGCCTTACATTTTACATTTTAAAATGTAAATTCCTGCAATTTATCATTCTGTATTTGTATATTTTAAGATAAGGGTCCAAGATCCAAGATTATGTGAACTGCAAGATAAGGAGAATTCTCATGATATAAGCTCTGATTTGAGCACATGCATCTAAATTATAGTTATTTTGCACTATAAAACACGATTAGTTACTTTATTTTAAAAAAGTGAGTAAACCCGTTGCCTTAAAAAGCAACAAGTTGATTTTACTTTACTTTGATTTTACTCAGTAAATTCTTAACTCAACTTTTATAATTGTTCACAGTTTGTTTACTTAATAATTATTAAGGAATGAGTTTACTCTCTTTTTTAAATTTAGCAACTAATCGCTTTTTACAGTGTGGAAAATGTTCTCAGCTCTGGTTGCCCTGATTAACAATTAACCTAGCAATCCTTCAAAGCAGAGATGCCCAAACTAGGGCCTGCCAGCCTGATCTCACAAGAAAACATAAGTATTTTACATTTTGCCAGTTCAGTTTCTAATTCGTACGAATTTGAACGAGTTCAGTAGTACGACATTGTACGATTTTAAAAAGGAGGCGTGGCACCTAACCCCACCCCTAAACTCACCCGTCATTGGGGGATGAGCAAAATGTACTAAATTGTACGAATTAGATTGTAAGAATTCATACGAATTAGCCACTAATTAAAAAAGTTATGAATTGTCGTTAGATTATGTTGGGCCTGCGGGCCATAGTTGGTCCATGGTGACGTTTGGTTTGGCCTTCCATCCCCTCTGAAAAAAAAGGGAGAATGCCTTTCGTCATTTCGAATTTAATGTATACCATTTTGTTTCTTTGTTTAATTGAGCAGCTACAAAAAGCCAGCTAAAATGAAATGTTTCATGTGAATCAGACTTTTAAAATGTAAATAATGTCACTTGACAGATCAAGCAAATCAAGGCAGGAGCAGCTCGACTAGTGCATTTAGTATTGAGCTCCGTTTTGTTATAAATAGGATTGTTGTTTTTACTATGATAAGTTAATTTAAAAAACGTAAAAAATTATACTGCATCACCATTTATAATGTTTTAAAGCATCTTTTTCTAGTTATATTTAAATAATAAGCAAACAAATAAGCACATTTAATGTAATATGGTTTGGTATTTTTAACTTCGGCCCACAGCCCTCAATCAAGTTAGGTTTTTGGTCCTTTATAAGGAAAAGTTTGGGCACCCCTACTTTAGAGGATTTCTAATTTTTGTGTTGTGCGTATGCTAGAGCAAAGTGATGTGACTTTAAAGGACACCATCAAGGAGATGATAAAAATCATTTTTTTAGCATTAAAACTTTATGATGTTAAAATAGGATCCAAATCCCTCCTATTTTTAGGCCGACCGCAACGTGACACAGGAGTGAGGTTTCCCTGCCCACTGAATTGATTGATAGCATATTAGCATGTCTCCGTAGTAACGCGTATAATCATAATAAACAAGACAAGACATGCGCAAAGCAACTGGGAGTAAAAGATCTGTTCAGCTCTCTGTGATCATCAACCATCATCAAATGTGATCAAGAATGAGTTTCACAAGTTTAAAACCTTTCAAAACAGTGCATGTTTGTATTGAATTACAGCGGTTTTACTATCTTTATTACCACAGCCACGTGTCAGTACAATTATAAAGGAAAGATGCTTTAATCCCGGTTTGTGGACGTTAAATCAGGATTATTCTGTACAGTAACATAACGGATATTCATACAGCAGTGGATATTAACATGCATCTTGTCACATTTGTCGTGCAAACTTAAAGGTGCACGCTGTGTGTGTCCGCAATGTATGTGTAAACTTTGTAAAGACATTGTAGAAGGGCTTAAATTGACTATGACAAATACATCAAATAACCATTAGGAAACTCCTTACTGTAGTATTTCTCACAAACGTTACGTGAGATCTGCTTCCTTCATGTCTGTAACTGTGCTGTTTATCTGGAGTGGAGATTGAGGCACAATCTGACAGGCATGTGGGACCTGTAGGCGGGCAGAACCTTAAAGCATTAGAGCATTAAAGGCACAGGCCACAAAAAGAGCTACATTGTGTTCAGAGCAGAAAATTCCAATATCATGAAAGGTATAATAAATAATCTGATGGGTGTTTTGAGCTGAAACTTTACAGACACATTGTGGTGACACAAAAGACTTATCTTAAATCTTGAAAAAAGGGTAAAATAGGTGCCCTTTAATGATGATTTAATTTGAGTGAGTGTAAAGCAAAGTTTGTGTTTTGGGGCTGCAAATTTCTTTTGAGGGGTGAATGGAGACTTTTAAAATTTCATCAAATGATTCTTGTCTTAGATGTGAATATTCGGTATACTAAAACTGTGATTTTAAATAACATTTAACAAATTCTTTAAGGTAAACCATGGTTAAAACGTATTTTTATCAGCTATTTTCATGGTCCCCCAACAGATATTGCAGAGTTAACCTTGCAAGTATGCCAATTAATCATCATAAAATTAAAGGGTTTACTAATACTCACATAAAAATATTAATAACAGTTAGTTCATATCTAGACATCTGTGACCATCAAAAACGTATATAGCCTGTTTTTTCAAATTCTCAATTTATCTAGTAATCTCACTGCTATCATGGTCAATTAGGGTCAAAGGCTTAGAGCACTGAATGAACTTTGCCTCTGTCATGTAAGTATTCCTGTTCAACAAATGTTGAGAGGTAACCTTTTATGACAAGCTCAGGTACTGTACATAATCACCAGTTTACTCCAACATTGAAACGCATGTTTTTTTTTTTTTTTACTTACACAATACATAGAGTCTAGACGTACTGTGAATGGACTCTGGTCTGGATTTGTGCTGTTAAACCGGTTCAGGTGAGAGAGGAATGACTGGAATGGCTCCAGCAGTGGCAAGTTTGCCTGTTGAGAAATGCCAGAGTTGATAGAGATCTCTGCGTGTCTCAACACTGTCAAATATAAAGGCAGGAAAGAGAATACTGAAGAGCTGCAACAACAAGGAAATAACCAATTCATTACAATACAATTGAACATTTACATTGAAGCGGTGTAGTACAAATGGGTGGAAATGTTGTATTCTATTTAGAGAAATACATAATAGATACATTATACATAAATATATCTTGCTTTGACTTCAAAGTGATGATGTGCACCTTATGTAAAGTTTATTAGGAATGCCAATTATTGTGAAAAGTGCTATCAAAAAGTAAACTTTAACTGAATTGAAGTACAAATACAATATTTTATATATGGTTTAATAACACTTTATTTTGATGGTCCATTTGAGTATTTGTAGACTGTCTGCTTAATGTCTGCTGATACTGCTCCTTCAACAAACATTTAACTGACTAAAAGAAACTTAGCAAGTACATGTCAACTTACACTAACCCTAACCCCATCCTAACTTATAATCTAATGAGAATTAGTTGGCATGTTCAGTAGATGCAATGTAACTTCAATTCAACCATCAAAATAAAGTGTGAACTTATTCATTTTTGTATACATTTTATTTTGCTATTATCGTGTAGTTATATGTATTATTTCTTTCTTGAAGTGATCATATAGTGTTTTATAAATACATATATGGTGATAAAAAAAATTATATTACCTACTCTTATCTATATTTTAATAATTAGAGGTCAGAATAAAGGTTTAATTTCTATGCATACGTGTAAACTCACATGGTACTGACTTGAAAAATAAAAATTCAGGCCAATTTAATTATTCATATTTTATTTATCTACATTAATTAAGACTTTAAAAAACAAAAAGTATTCATCCCTGTTATTGTATTTCTAAATTGAAAGCCTCAATAAGTAGGCAATATGGTAAACTTGCACAGCCAAATATAAATTGATCTTTGTGCATGCTATTAAATTCAGATTCATCTAAATAAATGCATCTATTACTCATTATGTAAGCTCACAAAATCAACATTTATTGGCTCTCTTTGTCCTATTATTCTAAAATAACAAATAATGTACAAATCTCTCTATTTAGTTTAAAACACTGCTTTATTTATTAATGATTCATTTTAGTTGTATTTTATTTATTTATTTTTGTATTGATTTCCAAGATTAATCCTCATTGTACTTAACAAGTTTACAATAATTTATGATGGAATTATTGTCACGATCACCAGCGATCCAACCTTTATATAGTAGATCATTGGAGAACATTTTACACTGACTAGAGTTATGTCTCAATAAGAACTACAAGTACTGTCATGCAACACACACACACACCTGCTCCAAGTCTATATTGATTACACTCACATAGCTGATGCTGCTCAAGTATTGATTACACACATATAATGGCTCACTTTGAGACAGTCATTGCTGAGTCTTGTAAAGCTGTGGTCACACTGCACTTTTCTCTCTATAAACTTCCATTCCATTCCATAATTAGCAAATGCATCAGACCGGAAACTCAAGCTGGTGTGACACGTTTCGCAGCTCACTGCATTAGAGAGTTCAAGCTTGGTGAACTCTGACCTGCGAAATCGCATCACTGGACTGCGTGAGACCAATGGATAATTAAAACATGACCTCTTTGGACAGAAATTAAAAATATGGACCAGTTGTTTACGTTTTTAAATGTCTAATTATCCTATTTAATCCCGCCCCTTTTTACAGCACTGTACTACAGACTTTTGCAAGCTCAATCTTGATTGTTACCGCAGCTTCATACTGTTTGTAATCAGTATATGAGCAGCATCAGTTGTGTAAGTGTAATCAATGGAGACTTCGAGCAGGTGTGTGTGTGTGTTGCATGACAGGACTTGTAGTTCATATTGAGACAGGATTGTAGTCCATGTAAATGTGAATGTTCTCCAGAGATCTATGTAGGTTAGATCCAACCCAAGCTCATTCTAGAAACGTAGCCCCGCGAACGTTTCTGGAGAGCGCGATTTAAGTGGCCGGAGGTACGTACGGACGTGTTTAGTTTTTTTCGAGCGAACGCTTCGGGGCATTGTAGTGCCGCTCCGCTCCTCCTCTTCGCGCTCGCCGGCCGACGGCTCGCCTCCGAGTGGAGGGCTTTCCCAATGCAACCAGTTTCTCCGCTTAGCTCACAGCGTTGCGTCGGCGGAGCGGAGACCCTGGAGGAGGAGGAGCCGGCTGCGGGGACGACGACCGGGATCGAGTCCAGGGAAATATGCGGCAGCAGTGGTCATTTTGAACTTCTGATATTACATACTGTACAGAAAAGTTTTGTTGACGGAATATTAGGTTAACCAATTTCAGATATTTCCTTTTCACAAAAGTTCATTGAAATATATGGTAGTACAGTAATTATTATTTATATAAAATCCCATTTAAATTAAATACAGTTTAGTCTCTGAAAACCAAAACAGTCACTCAATAAATCGGTTTGCTGTGGCCAGAACACAAATGACACACTTCAGCTGTACTATTTTATAATTGTGATCACTTCCTTTATAAACCAACCTCAATAGCTCAGCTTCCCCATGTTGAGACTTTCAGTTATTCAGACTGCAGAGCTGCTCTTTGCAAATGAAGTTCGTTATAACATGTACTAATTAAAATCTGGCAAGTGTAGCTAGAGATCTGGAATTAAGTTTTAAATTGCACAGATGATGATGTTGTTGTTGGCTGTCTCTGTGTCATCAGTTGGCAGACGGTGGTGATCAGGCCAGGCTGGACGCGCTCTCTCCAGGCCTGCTGTACCTAGAGCAGGTGTGCAGGATGCTGGAGAACATCGCAAAACTACAGCAGCAAAACCAGAGCCTGCAGAGCGAGCTGGAGGTCCTGAGGAGTCAGCAGGCACAAATACAGGTACAGCACATCACACAGAGGCAGATCACAGCGGAACTCTTAGAGGCGACATAAATAGGTAGACACATAGAACATAGTGATTTAATGGAAAGTATGATAGTATTAAAAAGACTATAAAGTTTTTTGGGGCTGCAAATAATTTTTGGCAGTGAAATGGAGTCTTTAGAGTTTTGTGTATACAAAAATTGTTACATTAAATGACATTTTTCTAGGTTTTCTGTAATTTTACCTCTTCTTAAACAAGAATGGATGATTAAATGCTGTCATGACTTGTGTCATTATAATGGAAGTCAATGGGGCAAAAACAGCTATAAAAACAACAAAAGGCTAGTAAATTTGCCCAGTGTATTGTTGAATTTTTCAAATTATTGTTGAAGTATTGTTGAACATTTTCAAAGCATTTTCCCAAAATATGTCTCAAAATAAAAGTTGTCACCAAAAATCATTCCATTTACTGAAACACTGAAACATTTGTGGGCAAATTAAGACTTTAAATCACCCCTGAGTCAATGGAAACCTCCCCAACAGTAACAAGGGTTAATATGCAGTATGCTGTTTTCAACCAATATTCTAAGTAACTTTGCCATTCTGTAAACTAATCCAATACATAATCCTAAAGAGTCTACTAATGATAAGGTTTTAATGACCTAGTTAGTTAAGATCAGTTCCTAGTTACCAAGCTCTTAGCTAACCGGATATATTGCCATCTGAGGGCACTTCAGAGTAAAAACAATTATTGGCATACTGAAATGCCGTTCCAAACTGAAATGCTCAAAAGTGGCCACTTTTTTTTGAAAGGTATTTTGATGGGGATCGTGGAAATCCAACCTTTTAAAGTAAAAATTTAAGTGCTAATGCGCTTACAAACCCATAAAATCTGAAAAAGTAGCGACTTTGTTTTGGTGAGCCTTTTTCTATAACCATGTGGAAAACATACTTTTCAGAATTTTAACTGTGTAGATTATATATTTACTCTTTATATTATTAATTAAGATTATATATTTATTCTATATTTACACATTTACACTTTGCATATTTACCACAGCAGAGGTTCAACATTTCTGTTTACATTCTGTCCATTCAGAGTATCTGTAATGAGCCGATTTCGTGGTTTTGTTTTGATGAGATTAAAAACACGTTCACATTACGTATTTGAATGGGGAAAAATGAGAACATCAAGGGCAAACTCCCCTGTCCTTTTCACCTACCTTTTCAGTACTATTTTTTAAAATTTTATTGCTTAAAAGTTCAACCTCAACTTGAAAATGACTGACTTAAACAGGAATGTTAACTCCTGAGATAGAGCCATTCTTCATGTTGATTGGCTGGAAAAATGTAATGATATAGAAAACTTGTCTAACTCCACGTTGTCCTCACAGACAGTGGACAAAAGATACAGCCAGATCAATAAGTATAGAAGCCCTTAGATTACAATGAAGTTCATTTAAAATGCCATAAAATTCTGAAGTTATCGTACATTATAGGACATTTTTTATTATTGATAGTACATCGTACAGAGGTCAAATTTATTGTACAAATCCCCGATAATTAAAGGACTGTTCCATTATTTTTTATGTGTGTTTTTTTTTTTTAATCATCAATGTTAGTTGTCAATTTGTTTCCAGAATCCAGTGTAAATTTGTCATTTGGACTTGAATCTTTATGGCAGGGGTGTCAAACTCAGTTCCAGAGTATGCAGAGTTTAGTTCCAGTTTCAACACCGCTATCTGTGGGTATCAGACAAGACTAAAGAACTCAATTAGTTTGATCAGGTGTGCTTAATTGGGGCTGGAACTAAACTGTGCAGAGCTGTGGCCCTACAGGAACTGAGTGTGACACCTTTGCTTTTGATGAATAAAACTTTTCTTATAATATCAGCTATTTTCAAGGTCTCCCAACAGATATTCCAGAATTAACCTTGCAAGTATGTCATGAACCTAAATAGTCTACTAATACTCTAATAAAAATAATGACTGTTAGTTCCTCTAATTGATTTAGACCTCTAATTTCTTGTCCTGTTTAGATTATTTAACAATGATCATCAAAAATGCATATAGCAATATATCAAGTAATCTCACTGCTAACATGGTCAAAGTCAAAGGCTCAGAGCTAATAAATTAATGTCATTATTTTGGTGGTCAAAAGTGCACCAATGTGCGGATGTCAAATGGATGTCAAGGTTTTGACACCAATTTAATTTGCATTTTTGACATGTGCTTGACACTTGTGCTACTGCTGATTTGGCTGTGAAAGATTCACTTATTTTGTTGTTTATTCAAACAAAGACTTCTCACTCTTCTGGAAGAAAGCAACTCATTTGCATTTAAAGGAATGGACAAAATGGTATGTTTTTGAAGGCAAATTTGACAAAGCTGTAGTAAAAGGATATTTTGAGCAGAACAGTCTGTGGATTTCATGTATTTCATTTCTATCTCGTGAAAAGGGTGTAAAATGTTCCCTTTAAGATTTTCCATTTTACTGCCGAGCTCATAACTTTGTAGAAAAAGGTGTCATGTGTCAAAACAACTTCTTATTTCCTGTAAACCGATACCTCATATTCACAGCACATTAACTCTAAATAAATCTTTCAGTGTGTAAGCTCGCATGAGGAGGAAATAAGCTGTCCAGCCTTTCAACATTTAGACATTCTGAGTCATGAATCACCAGCCAGCCAATCCACTCTCTTAAAGGAGCCTGGAGGGTTTCGCCACAGATCAGCATCTGACACTCAGACCATCAACCGTCACAGTGAGTCTCAACTCTTTCTGACACATGAACTTTAATTTTATAATGTATAGAATATAATTTAAGAGACATTCTGGTTTTGCTAAATGTTTTGTCCCACAGGGAGAACAAGGTTTGTTCGAGATGAGCAAATTGCTGATGCTTTAGTTGAGGAACCTGAAGATAAGGATCCTGTAAGTTAACACCAAACAGACTGAAAAGTTACAGATATTAAACAAAGATAAAAATACCATGCACTCACACTCATGTTATTTATTTTTAAACTAACCATTTCCCCCCTTAATGTGTGAACTTTAAACACAAAACACAGGCTTATTGTAAATACGTAGCCCCTTATACATTTCTGGAGAGAGCGAATTATGTAGCCAGAGGTACGTATGGCTGTATTTTGCCTTTCAAACGAACGCTACAAAGTGGTATGACTACCAATGGCTTCCGTTTCTTTTTGTGCTACCGGCTGACCATTGACTCTGTTCTGCATTTCAAGTCCTCGGCTATACGTAGTGAGCCACTGAGCAAATTGGTTTACCGAGTGGCTTACACCAGTTTGCCCAGTGGCTCACTGCGTATGTCAGAGAACTAGAGAGGACTTGAGATGTAGTCAACGGCATGGACGGGGCTTGAGTCTGGTGAAGAATGGTTCCAAAAAGCCAGATAAAACAAGAACAAAAGGCAAAAAATAAAATAAACAAGTGAATCACAGGGTGAGAAAGTGGTAAGATCTGAAAACATGGTAAAAACCAGGCGAGGGCTTCTTTTTCTGGATTGCTTTTAAAAACGCTGTCAGTTGGATTCAGAGAAGGGGGAGGGAGCTGGTCAATCAGTGCTTTTGAAAACACTATTGGTTGGGTTAGAGAAAGGGGTAGGTGGGAGACAGTCACTCATTCAACAGTGGCCTCTAGTGGATGTACCTGAGAAGAGCAGGAATGGATGGCACTCATAAGAGAAATTTGAGATCTGAAAATGTGTAAGCGGATTCGCCAAAATAAGGAAAACTTTAAAAAAAAGGATTACCTCCAGGGAACTATGTTGCCCTCTCCAGTAATTAACATGGGAGTATGTATTCATAATTAATTGCATAAATCTGCTTTCTACTTGCAATTGTATATATATATATATATATATATATATTTTTTTTTTTTTTTTTTTTTTTTTGTCACAAGAAAAAAAAAACAAAGGGATTTATAACTGACTGAGCTGCTTTTTCCTCATGTACTGTACACTCTAAAACAAGCTGTCCGTTTTGAGTTGATTCAACTGAAATCAAGTCAATTGCAGTACTTGAGAACACTCAAAAACTGTGCAACAAGTTGCCTAACAATTTTAAGATTGAGTCAACTTATATTTTGTTTCTGTGTACAATGACAGAAGAGCTAGTAGCTATCAATTTGTATTTCTTAATTTCAGTTCATTCAGATTTTCAGCCTCTTATTTCAGTTTTATTTGATCTTTGGCACAATTTTAAATTTTCGATTTCCTTAAAAACTATAGATGTAAAAAAACAGAAATTCTAAAGAAAAGAGAGGAGTGAGCATTACTTCACATATTGTAAATGAATAAAACATTTAATAGCCACAAATCTGTATATTAAACTCTTATTTCAGATACTCTTTGATACATTGAAAAAATGCATGCAATGACTAGAGGGAATATGAAATAAGAGTATGGGGAAATAAAAAGTATGGGGAAAAATAACTGCACCAATAGAGAATTGATATATAATCAGCCAAATTTTAATATCCAGTTAACAAATGACCCCCCCCCCTCTCCAAATATAGCTTTAATAATCAGTTTAATAAAGATACTGTATGGTTTAAATGACTTATTGCTTTTATAAAGTATAAAAGACTTTTTCTATTTCTTCTGAAGAAACAAATCCATACAGGTTTGGAATGGCATAAGGATGTGTAAATAATGACTAGGATTCATTTTTGAGTAAACTGTTCTATTAATAATGTACTATTGTTATCAGCATAAAAGTGTGAACGTTGAAAGTTATTGTTGTTTCTCTGTTTGTTTAACCAGCTACCGGAAATTAAACACAAGAATCAAAGCAGGATTCAAAAGCTAAAATTTACGTCATTTAGAAAGAAGCAAACACATCAGTCTGATGCAGAAAGCAACAGGTAAGGGTTTAGATAAATTGATTTGAACTTTTCCGCAAATTGAACTTTTTGAAATGATGTATTTTTTATGTGTTGATGTATTATCTTCACTCAAAGCCTTCAGACTAAGAAGAAAACAAAATTGCAAAACATGTTCAGGAGAAGGATGACCACACGTCTCTAGCATCCAGGGATGTCCAGGGATGATGTCTCACAGTGGTCATTCACAGTTCCCATTTACCCCAGCATTAAAGCACTATTATTTGTATCTGTTGTGTTTAGTCATGTATGTAAGGTTGCACTTCAAAAAAGTACTAATAATTCATTCATTCAATAATGTGCTTTGTACAGTATGTGTTAATGATGTGCACTGTTTTTTAATTGCTGGATCCTTTTATTTAATGCAAGTAGATTATGATTTATTATGGTAAATATTAGTCTGTTGCTGCTAAAACAATTGTTTTGAATATTTTTTTTATAAAAATGTTTTACATTGCTGTAAAATGTAAAGATAGGGGAAAATACTACATACACACATTATTAAATATATAGTTCACATTCTCTTTGCACAACAAAACAATTACTAAATATGAATTTATACACACCACAAAAGAAAAAACACATGTTGTACTGAACAATCACATTCATGTTGCTTGTAGAATAATTAAAAAAATAATCGTTGAGTGAAATATCCCCATTTAAGAACAATTATGTTAATTAAACATAAAGTGTGTTAAATTCACTGTTGTCTTGCATTTTTAAATGCAAAATATTTCTATTGTGTCAGCAATAAACTTAGTTTTTTATGAAACTGTTGTGAAGTATGTGTGAAGTATGTGCTTATTGAAATGGATGCACTTTTTGCAATCTGAATGTCAGCAATCAATCTCATTACAAACTGATTATTGGGGAGCCTGTAAATGTATTTATAATGTATCTCATTTTGGTTTCTTTTACCAATAATCCTAGGCAATTATGCAATCAGTGGGTGTGTTCTGGAACTGTGCTTTTCTTTGATGTGCGATAATCTGCTAAATGTTTTTCATTCCAGCAGGGCAGACAAGAAAACAACATCCAAAACAACAACCCTAAATTAGCAACATAAACACACTGAGGGGTCAAGTACAAAGAACTGGTACAGCGACCATTATTGTTGTTTTCAGGGGAGACATGAAACCCAGCAAGCATTTTTTGTTTTTAAAAGATGTCTAATAGACGTCTAAACATAGTTGTCTTAGCTAAAACAAGGCTAAATTTTGGCTGTCAGTGAAAATCTAATAGACATGTAAGAATAGGCCAAAACTAGACTTGTTATCAAATAAACAGAAATGAATGACAACACATATAAAGTCTAATCTGTCTATTTGATGACTAGTCTACTTTTGAGCTATTCTTAGATGTCTATTAGATTTTCACTGACAGCCAAAATTAGCCTTGTTTTAGCCAGGCTGTCTACATTTAGATGTCTACTAAACACAACATTGTTTGCTGGGAAGCAGCATGACATGTTTACAACCCTGAATGAATCAAAACAGTATACCATTACCTAGCCTTTTTAAACTTAATTTTGCGATTAAACAGTGTCCTGTTTCATTCTTTGTTTGAGGGCAAAAAGGTATATCATAATAAATATATCAGGCCTTAATTTAGTGACTAAATCTGAACCTCTAAAAGCATACTTTCAACATAGGCTCATTCTGAAAATGTAGCCCTATATACGTTTCTGGAGATCGCAAATTATATAGCCAGAGCAACATATGGCTGCATTTCATTTTTAAAATGAATGATACTGGAGTGGTACAGTATGATGCCGTTCCTTTTTGCACTTACCAGCAAACGTCTTTCCCGCTGTGACCAGTTTATCCAGTTAGCTCGCCATGTGCGTCGGTGGACGAGATGCAGAGAGGAGCTGACCATAACAACTGGGTTCAAATCCAGTGAAGAATGATTCCAGAAAGCAGGTAAGACAAAAACAGAAGCCAAAAAATAAAGTAAACAAGAAAATAACAGGGTGAGAATGTGGTAAAAATCAGGCGAGGACTTTTCTTTTCCTGGATTGCTTTTTAAATTTGTCAGTTGAATTTAGGGAAGTAGGTGGAACAGTCAATCTCTGCTTTTTAAAATACTATTGGTTGGGTTTAGGAAAGACGGGGGGTGGGTCAGTCAATCAGTCAGTCAGTCCTTTAGTCAATCAAACATGCAGCGGCCTCTGGTGGATTTACTCGAGAACAGCAGGCATGAATGCTGCTCGCGCGAAAAGTTTGAGATCTCAAAAAGCGAGATCAAAACAAGACCCAAAAAAAAATTAAAATAAAAAATTTACCTCCTAGAATGTATTTGGCGGTCTCCAGAAATTTATATTGCGGTACATTTTCAGAATGAGCCTGGGTTACATAGTTTCCTAATATACCTCAAAAGATATGTATAAAGAGTACGTGCAAATCTGCAATATTTATAAAACAGTTGCTGAAATAGTCCAATATAACCTGTTGCTTTGGATGAAATTCCAAAGTGTGCATTCAATCAACACTAAAATATTAGACAAAACAAAAGTTGACTTTTTTAATTCTTTATTGGTCTTTATTATACCCAGGATGGGGGAGATAGACTTCCCTTGGCATTCCCATGTAAAGAGATGACAAACACATCCAAACAAGAGATCGAGGGCTATAGGGAAACCAGTTCATACATAAAATACATTTACTCTGATATTTCATATCTCTGTCTTTGCACTCAAGTGTCCTTTTCACTTCAAGTCCTCATATAGCATCCTGTGCTGTTAAATTTACAGGTACATGTGACCCTTCGGGAGAAGGTGAATGTGTGTAGCTCAGATGGTGGGCACGGGTGGATAGCTTTTCAGATGAGTTGTGCCAAGTTGTACGCACTGTCTACATGATTCCACAGGAGGAAAGAGGGTTGGCAATGTGGCAAGTGCAAGCCGACTGACAGTATTGGCGCACTGTTTGATAGCAGCTGCGGTCACCATCGCTGCCCCACTGCACTGTGCCTGCCGGGTCAGGTGGCAGCCGGCTGAGGATGCTGGTATTGATGGCCAGCGCGGCTAACCCATAGTCTGTGAAGAGCACGGTCTCGCGGCGGCACGTAGGGCAGGAGATGAACTTATACTTGGGACAGGACTCATACAGGATCTGCAGGCACTCCTCACATACCGAGTGCAAACAGGACAGGATGCGGGGCCGCTTGCCAGCAAAGTTGTAGGTGTGCCCACATGTGGGGCAGTCCAGCGGTTCACATGGCATCACCGGGCCTGAGGAGGTGGAGGACGAGGAGGACGAGGTGGAAGAAGAGCGGAGCACGTACTGGTTGACGATTACATCATCCATCTTGTAGTGGAACTGGTGGTAGCAGATGTCAGCCGTGCTGGCCTTGCGCTGAGCAAGATAACTGGCTTCACGGCGGAGGACAGGAGCGGGAGGAGACACTAGGGGTCTGGGTGGAACCACAGTATTGCCATTGACCTCCATAGTTAGGTCGCCACAAGCCTGGTTAACGATAACCTCCCCCTCGCCTCCTCCATCCCAGGCCACACGGGGAGGTGGGGCATAGCGAGGTTGGGTCACAGGGACTTGACACTCCCGGGGGAACTTCTCTGACTGGATGATCTTGACGGTGTCCATAGGAATGGTCACAGGTTGGCGCCGCAAACAGGACATTCACTCCTAGGCGTGGTGTTCTTGGCTAGAGGAACTGGGTGTATTGTACGGTGGTCCTGCAGAGAACGTCTTCAGTGCACTGGGGGAGGACACTCAGCCATTGCAGGGGACGTGAGGGCGAATAGGTTTGTCCATTGCTGAATTAAAGTTCTTCCTTGGTCACGGGCTGTGTCACCCTGAGTCTTTATGTGGCACAGATGGACAAAGATGTCCAGCCAGTGCACAGTATAAAAAGTCCTGAAGAACAACAGGCAAAGGTGTTTTCCTTCAGAGGTCACAAGAAATTACAGTCTGTGACTCCCGTGGGCTTATCAAGTCTTGAGGCAAGTACTTACACCCTGTTCACTGATATTGCACAATCATTCGAAGAAACTGGATATTCAATGATACTAATATTCAGTGATAAATTCTTAAAAATGATTGGCTTAACACTACAGTATCAGTAGATATGTTGGCAATTGTTTCAGTGTTTTCACTGTTACAGCACATTTATTTGGACATAAATATCACAAGCACCTAAATAGAGAATACCATAGGATCTTACTAAGAAATACTGTTCAGTTTAATACTGTTGTTGGCTTAACGTTCATAAACCTGCTCATCCGTGGCTTTATAAGTTTCAGAAAGGAACTGATGCAACCACCGTAACAGAAACAGCATCCACCACAATGTCACTACCTTCTTCCTGTTTCAGCTTCCTTTTCTGGTTAGACCCTCTCCTGTTCTTGATTCTTCTCGTGATTGGCTAAATTCTAACCTCCCTGTCCTTTGTTCTGATAAGTAAATTCTTTTCAGGGAGGTGTTCATGTGGCATTGGAAAATTTGAACGCACGTTCCACGTCCTTAAATGACCAGAACTCCTTAAGGGGTCTGCGTTGAGCTTGACAGATTGTGCGTTCACTCTTCTGTTATGTGACAGGCTTGAGAGTGTCTCAGGAGTCTTTCCAGACCTTAGTTGCTTCTAGCACATTGCAGATATGCAGACTCATAGGTAGTGTTGCTTCTTTCCTGCAGGAGAACAAAAAAATAAAACAGTTCAGGTGATGCTAATGCAAGGACACAGCTCAGCCTTTTCCAGGCCATTTGCTTGCACTCCTGGGAACAGTGTCTAAAAAGTGTCCTGTCATCTTTAACTAAAAACACAGCAGTGGGGAAATTCTGATGAACAAAATGAAAAAGCTGCTTCTATGCAAATGACTGTGATCTGCACAATGTGACCATTCACAGCAGATATCTGGAACCCCGCAGCATCTTTTCCAGTCTAAAAAACTCCCTTGCTGTATCTGCCAGCTGCCATCTGTGGCCCTGTGGGGCATGAGCGCTTTGCAGGAAGACACAGAGGACCTGACCACTGAACAATCTGTCCTACTGCTATAGACCTGTGCATGCATTACAACACAACACTGCAAAAGCCCACAACCCTAAAATGGCCACCAGTGCACACAGTCAGGATGAATTAACCTTTATTCACAGGCCATTTTACTTTCACAATGCCTATGTTTACATATACCAATTTTATTTAATCTGAACAAATTTAGATTCATTAGATTGCAGATCTGAATACATGTTCTGAAAACATGGCAATCTGATTCAAATATCTGTTAAATACAAATTTATATACATTCCGATTAAAACTTTTGTGTTTAAGAAAAATTAGGTTCTACGTACAGTAAAAAAAAGTTGATAGTGTATGTATTTTCTTTAGGCTACATGTATCTGAAAATAGAAATATTGGGTTTAATTTTGAAACCATTGAGTAAATTGGCAGGTTCAAGTGTTTACATGATAATTTATTTGCAGTTGGACTGAATTAGAAAGCTCATACCCATTAAAGCCTTTACATTAAAGTTTTTGAATTCGACTGAACCATGAATCTGATTACATACAGATTATTTGAGCACCTGTTAATGTAGCCAATGTAGCATTTTAAAGTAACACAGAAAACGAAATGTAGGACAAAACTGGATTTTATTTACTCATTAACTGATGGGGAGACTATATTTACTCATTACCTGATCTCCCTGAAGAGGAGACAAGTCACTTCATAACTGTTCATAATAAGACCAGTTTATTTACATTTAATAAATTGGACAGTGGTTGTGGTCAACATGAAGATTATGATTGTGAGGTTCGG